CCTAATATTACCCATTTTTACTCATTTAAATATTTCTGCACTTTCACATTCATATTAACCAGGTACTTGATGTTCTTTATATGCGAATCCATCCTTATTGAAAGTTGCACAACCTCCTCCACTACTGTTGTTACTCCTATCTCTTCTGACTGAACTGTAACTGGGAATTGTAAAATCTAAAAATTGTTTTTAACCAAGTTTCCTGAACACATATAACATCTGGAGCTTTTTCTAGTTCATGTACATATTTTGTAAAATTCTTGATAATTTACTATGAGACTTCTAGCATTCAATTAAAGAATATGTATGACCGCTTTCTTTTTAAATACTTTTCTTGAACATTTCCAGCTGAACTCATCAGTTTGTGACTTTGATCCACTTGGACCTCTTTCATGTGTAGGAACCGTCCTGCTGCTTCTACAATCGTTTTGATTTTATAACTTTTCTTTTTCATTTGCACTGTAACATTAATGATGTGACAAATAAATGCCACAAAGTTATCTTTTTTTCTCCAACATTGTATTTTCATCTACATCATATTTATGTTTGCATGCATAACATTCATCTGTTGAATTGACAATGTTTTGATTCTGCTTTCTTTGTGAGTCGTTGTTTTTCTGATTTAACTCTCCTTGACTTGTTTCGTTATTTCCCAACTCATTTGTACTTTCCTTTCTAACTTTCTTTAATGCCTCAGCATATGAAACCTTCTCTGTTATTTTTATTCTTTGTGCTTGTCTTGCCTCCCTCTGTACTATGCATCCACCCTATGCTGCACTATGTTCTCCCCCACAGTTAAAACATTTAACTTTGGCATCTTTATCACACTTTCCATATTCATGTGAACCTCCATACCTTGCACACCTAATTTTCCCTTTGCACGCCTTAGCTACATGACCCATTGTTTGACAAACGAAACATCTTATTGGGTTGGGAATGTAGTCTCTCACCCTGAAGTTTATATAGCCAATCTGCACAGATGCTTCTCCTTCTTCTCCTCTTCTTCTTCTTCTATGCAGATTTTATTTGACGGTTGGCAAACAACTATAGGCGTGCATTACCTCCAGCACGGATGTGGAGTGTGGACTGAAACGATAAAAAATAAAAAATAAATAAATAAATAAAATTCTGTCAAATTAATTATTTTAAGCAATCTATCAAAATTTGAGGTCTATCTGATAATGAATTTTGCTGTAATAATTCCAAAATAGTAATTCTAACTTTCATTTAAGATTGATTGCTTATCATTTGAGTTCCTTCAACACTATATTTCTGAAAATGATAAATGTTAGTTTCATCTTCCCTGCAATAATCACATTTACCTGTATTATGTTTCCCTATAATGAGCAAACTCCTATTTAATCCTGTTGTGCTCAAATCTAAGACGTGTTATATTTCTTTTCTCCTGTTCCTGTCAGCCCTCCTCATTTCTCCCACTCTTCAATGAATCCTATAAAACCATCTGGCTTTATTTCTTCCTCCTATTGTTTTTGCCACCTTTCTCTCATTGTAGGAGCTATTTCTCCATTTTTATTTAAATCTTAGAATTTGGATTATTTAGTTTGATTTGTTATTTAGAATAAGGTTTTGATTAGCGATTCAGTTAATTAGTTAATTTTAGCTTGGGATATGGGTGTTTCACAGTATAGGTGTTAGGTGGCTCATTATGCTCGTGGGTGGTCATATGGTTTTTACCAGTTCTCAGTTTCCAGTTTTCAGTCTCAATCTCAATCAGTGAGTAAATCAAAGAACAGCTGCAGGAATCAGAATGAGAGCAATAGAAGAATCATGTGAAGCCTGTAAACTGTTGGTCTGAACGAGAAATAAAGCAAACAAAGAACTGGATTTTTGTAATGTATGGGAATCGGACCCAAGATACAACCAAGACAGGTCAGTGAATTTTACAGGCTTTATTTGAGAAATTAACTGGGAAAGCATAACGGGAGCCCCTGACTCGGAATGTCCAGAGCATGAAGAGCCGGTTAGAGGCAATTACCTAAGTTAAGAACTGAAGTCCGGTTGCAGACAGGGTTTGCTACTGACACAGTAGGGAACTTTAAATCTGCCTGTCCTTCAGGTAGGATTTAAACCAATCCAGTGCTGTACCAGAAAGGCTGACCCAAAAAAATAATTTCCAATGTGCAATCATTACAAAGATTTACTGACAAAAATGTAATTTATTATACATAAGTCTGTTTTTGTATCTGTTTTTTTTTCCATTACTTTATTTAACCTTTACACAATTCAGTTACCATTACAGAACTGGTTGAAAGAATTTACAAAAAGAATATAAATTATATTTTACTGTATACATAAGTATGTTATTTATTATCATTTATGAACGGAAAGTCTCAATCTTAATGTTTGATTTTTTAATCTTATTTCTACTTTTATTTACACGGGAGCGGATCTCACATTTAAAGTAGCAGACATCTTTTCACTAAGGCAGTGCAGAGCTGCACTAGACCTAGATAGTTCACGCTTGAATGTGATTGCAGAAAGTTAGGCCTTTATAAAATCTATGTTTTACACAGACTTATGAAATACTATTTATAAATTTATCTATGTAAACAAACCTCATCATCACTTGATAAGATAGTTAAACTGGACATTGCAAGACCTTTTCTTCCATGACAGCCTCCATATTGTTGGAGGAGGAGAAGCAGTCGGGTGAAACAGTTCAGGTCGCTGAAGTCTGACCATTAAATGTCGCTAAAATAATTTTAAGCTTTAATACTGCCGTTATCAATAAAACAAAATAGTTGTAGCTATAGAAATACTCAAGACTGAACCAAAACTGAACATTATTGTACTTTCTAATTATTATTCTGATTAACTATAATTCTAATCCTAGTAAGGACCTGTGGACTACTAGGAAAAAAATGACTTTTCGTGATCCCTGATGCCATCAACATAGATCTAAACCATAGAAGATTAGATTATAGGCCTACTATTTGAAATTGTTGATAAAGTGGTAACTAGATTTCCAAATGGAGTTAATAAATTGATGCATGGTTGGAATGAAACATCCTGTTCTGCTGGAAGTTTCTTCCTGTTAAAAGGGAGCTTTCCTCTCCATTTTTTCTA